TGGGCTACCACTGCCTATACGTCCCTAATCCATACTAATATTATAAATGTAACAGTGTGTTTGTTTGTTTCCTTCTATCTTTGTTTCCTTGTTTGTTTGTCTTTCTTTTAAGACGAAATGGACGACGTTATAATACAACTCAAAAAATATTTATAGTCAGAAGTACTTGAAACTTGGTAATAATGCTCTTCAATAAAATTAAATAAATACGTATTTTAGCATTGTTCAGAATTCATCCCCTAAGGGGGTGGTAACATAGGGCACGATAGTTTCAATGAAAACTACCTTTTTAGAGTTTTTTTTTGTAGTTTTAGCGCGAACGAAGCCGCGGGTTTTGCTAATATTATATACATTTAAAGTTCACCCCAAGTCAATAAGAAGTAAATATAACAAATGTAAGTTGCAGTCGAAAATGTCAGAACCAACGAAGCGTTACGAAGGGATGCTGCGATCGATACTCTCAGTGGTCGCTAATGTGCGGTAAGTGGTTCTTCGGCGGTCGGAAGTATTTTGTCATCTCCTTAATATGATATAATTAATTATGTTGAAAAGAAAGATTTATATCGCAGATGAGCAAAATATTATTGTCAGCAAAATATTTTTGCTTTTTACGGCTGTATAAGTTTTTCTTTTGGGCGATTTCAAATGGAGGAAGTGGATAATTTGTCTGTATTTTTTGTGCGTATTCGTTAATTATTTTAAATCGATAATATTTTTTTAACTGACGAAACGGAAGGAGTTTATATGTTACACTGTAGATATGTATTATTACATAATAATCCATACTAATATTATAAACGTGAAAGTGTGTTTGTTTGTTTGTTTGTTTGTTTGTTTGTTTGTTTGTTTGTCTGTCCTTCTTTCACGTCGAAACGGAGTGACGGATTGGCGTGATTTTAGTGTGGATATAGTTGGAGGGCTGGAGAGTGACATAGGCTACTTTTTACCGCGGGAGAATATCTAATTCCCACGGGAAAACAAGTTATAGTTTATTTATTTATTAGACCACACAATTAGCTATTTTTGTTCTGTTACGCCAAAAAAGTATAACTTCTTACGTTAGGTGCGTACATGTACACACACACGTTTTTTTACTTTGGTTATAATATACCTATCTATACATATAATAAAATTGTAACTAAGCCGAATCTGTACCTACACTAAATATTTTTTGGAAAATCTTATTGAAATAAACATTATTATCGATACAGAGGCCGAATCTATAGCTTTTAGAATTTTTGTCCGTGTGTCTGTCTGCCTGTCTGTATACTAATATGTAAAACCTAAGAATTTGGTTTTTGTTTATCTGAACGCGAGCGGAGCCGCGGGCAATGCTAGTATAGAATATTTCTATAAAACTAATATTTTTCTTTTACTACGTAGGATGGCTGAAAGTAGCAGAAATTCTCATACATCCCTTCGACGAAGGCTTACAGATAGGCATATTAAGTTGATGTTTTTTTAATCAATAACATAAGAATGGGTTCGTATACACTAGCATCCGCCCGCTACCGACTGAAAGCTGTTTTTATGCCTTCAAGAGGGAAAGCTTACTAACTTAAAAGGTTTTTGAAATAATACTTTCTCAGATTTACGCGAATATTTAAAATGTAATTTTAAATAAAACTATCTCTTCGGATTTTTTCGCGGATTTATTTAGATTATTCTGTCTGTATGTTACCTATCGCATCACGGAAAAACCACTGGAGTGATTTTGATGAAATTTGGTATAGCGATAGCTGGTCCGGGTCAACATATAGGATACTTTTTACCGCGGGAAAATATCTCATTTCTGAGAAAAAATACAAATTAGAACAATTATGTAAAACCTAAGACATTGGTTTTTGGTCGTCTGAACGCGGGCGGAGCCGCGGGTAGTGCTAGTATTAAAATAAATTAGTAATTGCTGTTTGGTCCTGAAATTACTTATTACAATTACAATTATTTTGTAAGCTACTTATAGTAATACTAGCGACTCATCCTCGCTTGGCTCGGGTTCGTCCCTAGCTTGCTTTCTAGTACAAACTTTCATTCCCATTTTCACCCCCCTAAGGGACAATTTCCGGGATAAAAAGTATCCTATGTCCTACCCAGGGTCTCAAACTATCTTTTTACCAAATGTCATCTAAATCGGTTTAGTAGATCTAGAGATTACCTCCTATAACATCACAAACTCACAATATCACAAACTTTACCTCTTTATAATATTAGTATAGATTAAAACTTAAAAAAACCCGACTTCCAGGCACTAAAATGTAAAAAATAACTAAACGGGGGTTTTCATGTAGAATAGATACCTAATCAGATATTTTCGAAGTCGGTGCCAGCCGACGCATAGGAAATCTAATATATTTTGATACGTAAAATACATATTATTTACCTATTAGATTATTAATCTTAAAATATTGTTGGCTGGCACCGACTTCGAAAATATCTGATAAGGTATCTATTCTAAATGAAAACCCCCGTTTAGTTATTTTTTACATTTTAGTGCCTGGAAGTCGGTTTTTTTTTAAGTTATAATTTTTATATTTTTAGTGAAGACGTAATAAGCAGGTAATTTGTAAGAAGAAAGTTCTTATTAACATATTCGATTAAACAATGTGTTAAAATAATATATTTATTGTTGATTTTCTTAAAAACCGCTCGACCGATTTCGATAAAATTTATATGGGACCACCTGGGAAGTATACCCTTTCAAACAAAACAAAAATTTTCCAAATCGGTTCAGGCGTCTTCGAGTAATCGGTGAACATACATAAAAAAAAAGATTCCGACGAATTGAGAATCTCCTCGTTTTGGAAGTCGGTTAATAAAGAAATAAAATATTTGATATCCATACTAACCGTTAAAACGTAGCTGGTAAAAAGAATAAAATTATTCAAACAAAATAAATTATAATTATGTAACATCATCTTTATATATATAATTCTTCTGTGAGTGTGTATGTCACTGAACTTCTCTCAAACGACTGGACCGATTTTGATGAAATTTTTTGTGTGTGTTCAAGGGGATCTGGGAATGGTTTAGATTCACAATTTTGTCCGCTGGACAATGTTTTTTTAATTAATTTTTAATTTTCAAATTAAAGACGTGTAGACAGGACCACGTCTGTCGGGTCCGCTAGTTTTATTTAAATATCTCAAGTATATTATTATTGACGGTATTACATTTAAACGGCCCACATATAAATGAAAACTGTGCTATAACAATTAACACTAATTCTAACTCACATTCAAAACGAATAACAAAACTAAAAACAAACAGTCGGCCATATTTAGCTGAGGCGCGAACTCACATTTCGCGCCTCATTTCAATTTGACGCAGTATTCGATTTTCAAAGAGACGCTAAAATGTTGCCAGAGCAATAAAATAAGATCACTCGAGCGTGGTGTTGTCAGCCTTTGGTAACAAATTGGTTAATTGCTTTAGTTTATTTATAGAGAGGATGTGAAGATACTTGTTAGTGACTAAGCGACGCCCACGGCTTTTCGTATTTATTTTTATATTAAGTATTGTTGGTATCATTTTAATTTGATTGCATCTTTATTATTTGTAACTGTGTCTTCTGTTATTCTGAAGAGTACAGGCAAAGAACAGGGAATGTCCTATAGATTATGAGAAAAAAGTAATTTAAAATTTAAAAGTATAATATTTTTATTGTGATTAAAGTATGCAGAACCGTTTTTACTATGTAGATTCTTGGACAATCCTCCTTCTTTACCGGTATGTCATGGATATTATTTTCATATACAGTTATTTTCTCTTTGGGCATAGATAAAAATATAGTTTCAGCTAAATTAACGTAAAGGGGAGGTTAAACATTCATCCGGTAGTTTTGATTTAAACTTTTAAAATCACACTAGCGACTCACCCTCGCTCTTCTCGCGTTCGCCCCTCGTTACGTTTTAACGTTTAGTATAGATTTCTCAGAGATGAGATATTTTCCCGCGGTATTAAGTATCCTATATGTCGACCCGGATAACCAGCTATCATCATGCGAAATTTCATCAAAATCTATCCAGTGATTTTCCCGTGATACTGTAACAGACAGACAGACAAAAATTCTAAAAACTATAGATTCGGCCTCTGTGTTGATAGGATGTCTATTTCAATTAGATTTTCCAAAAAATATTTAATGTACAGATTCGGCTTAGTTACAATTTTATTTTATCATATGTATAGATAAGTTTTGATTTTATAACGCAAGCATTTAAAATTATAGAAATAAATGAAATATTCTACGTGGATTTGTTTAATATAACGCCATCTGGCGTTGAATAGATATACCCTAAATAAAATTATTTTTTTCAAGATAAATAATTTATCTTTATAAGATTATAGTAAATAATTATTATTTACTATAACCTATTTTTTACTTGTTTCTTAGTCTACAATGTCATAATTAGGAAGTAATCTAAAGCACACAAATTTTTAGTCATCGTTATTTAACAAAATGTATTAATTTTAAAGTTAAAACGAAAATTCTTTCACTACTTAAATGAATACAATACAAATCTTATTAATTCCAATCATTTTATATAAAATTTAAAACAACAACTGTTTGTTATTTTTCGCAAACAAACCTAATAAATAAAATCTTAAAGAAAATATTATATTTCAATTTGATATTGAAAGCGCCATCTAGCATTCAGTAGACCCAGATTTTAACAATCATAGACTAATAAAATATTACTTGAAATATTTTTAACAACATTTTTTCTTTTCAAATAATACAATATTTAAATAATATATAATTATATTTAGATTTGAACATAATAATTTATAAAAAGCATGATTACAGTTGACAATGACCTAGTCACGGTGAAAAAATAAAAACAAACACGTCAGTAATGTCAAAATCTGTTGTGTCATATCATCGTAGCTAATATTTTTGTAGCGGTGAACAAATAATTGTAAAAACGTATATAAAAATAGAAAAATAAAGTGAGAAAGTTTATAATTGTTCTGGAATACTGGAATAGGTTTAAATATCCAAGATGAACTGGTACGGGGGAAGTATGGCCGAAGCTGTCAGTCTATCAAAACAGCAGAATTCTATATTTGTAGTTTTCGTGGAAGGTAAAACATTACAATGCAATAATTAAATTTTAATCTGTTTAACATATTTTATTGTTTTAAACAATAGAAAACAACACGCACCAAAATATTAATTACATTACGCAATAATTTCTCACTATGCGCCAGTATTTTTCGTAGATTGATTGATATTGTAGCCTAAAAGTAGCGTAAGAAGTGAACTTTAAACTCGGATATAACTGAATTTATTAACTTTTTATAAGTAATCTGGATGATTAAAAAAAAATGAAGTTAGTGTTTAGTTACATTTTAATTGGTTATATTTAATGTAATGTCCTTGAATAGTGCTAGAATTGTTATTTATACAAAATAATCGTTTTTTTTAGTAATTTTGATTCATGACTCATGACACAAATGATGACTCATCAGTAACTGACTATTTCATTGATATCCACAACTTACCTAATAATTAACTAAACATATCTAATACTTAAATAAACTTATGCTATAAATAAAATATAATTTTAACCCACCAACCTAATTAAATAATTGTGAACAACCTATATGAAAATATCTTTGGATTTAATCTTTAACATTTCTACTCATTTGATCCCTATCAAAATATTACATGAAAAACAATATTTTTAAAGTAAAATTTACTTGGAACTTGATATTATTGTATACAATAAAAAGGAGATAGTTTTTTGCGCCTACATTTTCGCCTCGAGCTCTATAGAGCTGTGAATTTGCGTTCTGGGTTCCACAATTATAACTTATGCAATTAAGCTTAAAATCTAGTCATAGACACTTCATTAGACTAAAAAAAAATAAAAAACATGTCGGATTTTGAGGTTATAATTTATTGAATGTATTGGCTGTGAGATTTCCTGCAGTAGGTAATTTTAAAAACTTTTTAGTAAGTACTTACTTGAATACAAAGTATATTTCAGCATTCTAGGTTTAATCTAACACTAATAATTGATAGGTTATTTTATTTTATTTATTTTATTTATTTATTAGACCACCAACAAAGTACAAACTAATCACATTATAACATACATGGAAAATAAAACATACAGAGTAGTACCTTAATTATAGGTGATAACAACATTTAAAAAGTAGTACAATGTAAAGGCAAAACAAAATTTAGAATATCAAAAAAGAAACATAAAGATTCACAATGTTACATCTTACAAATAAAAATAAGTTTATAAAAATAATAACAGCTAAATATATTATTAACATGTTATGAAAGATCTAAATGAAATAGATATACTCACATACACACGTATACATACACATACATATTCACTTGTATGTACATAAGCGATTATTTCATATAATATGACGCTATGAGTGCAACAATCTTTTTTTTTAAACTAGATAAGCTATCATTAAATATATCACTGTCCTTATTCCTGCTAATTAAACTATAGGATCTCATAATTCTATTAAGAGGTTAGTTATACCCCAAATTGGAGTACACAACACTCGTTTATCTAAACATAGGCACTTAGAGCTCACTACCCACTCTTCGCACATTGTGATGACCTACACATGGTGCAGTACTTTCAGACTCCATACTAACATTTGTGTTGAATATTGTGTAACATGCATCACAAACGTAGTCAGTGGTGCTGATCTGAAACGTGATTAATTATTTATTTATTTATATGCATTATACTCTTACATGAGAAGAATTATTGTTTATAAATTATAATTTAAATAAAAAATCAAAAAAATATACTAAAATACTGTTGAGAAAGATGTTGCTGTACTTGTGTTAAAATGTGCCTCGTCATTCTTGTTTCATTAATATAGCAATTCGAATAATTTAGTCGAGTGGCTGTAAAAGTTGAGGGTGATGAATTGTACCTGGCAGCACTGTCCACCTTTAGCTCGATGGCACGTTTGGCTCAGTTGTAGTGTCCCTACTTGCTGTGCCCGCGTTCGTGGGTTCGAGTCCCGCCGGGGGCATTCATTTGTGTGATGAGCACAAATGTTTGTACTCCAGTCATTGGGTGTTTACATTTATATATATATCTATATATAATAGTTGATACACTTCATATTATATTTAAAGTTATATATAATATGTAGTGTATCTGGTATCCATAACATAAGCCTCGTAGCTTACCATGGAATTAGATGGTGCTGTGTTAATGTACCAACATATTTATTTATTGTTATTAATATTAGGAAGTGTCCATCATATTATATTAATGGATTAAGAAATGAAAAAAATGCTAGCAATTTTAATATGAGCATGCTTTATAGGGTCATAGGCAAGATTCTGGTATTTCCTTTTGATATTTTACAAAATAGGAAAAAAAATTCTTTTACTTTTTTAAACAAAACACACAGATTTGCAAAATATCTAATTGGAAATAAAACTAATTGGATAATAGATTAATGAAAAAGAAAACCTGTGTGTGTACTTATGTGTGCACTTAAGAAGTTATACTTGTTTGGTGTGACAGAACAAAAATAGCTAAAGATTTCATCCCGTATGTCACAACTCTGTTTGTAAAGCAACGCAGCTAAATCGATCATGTCGCTTTCTGCTAACTTCATCTGTCGGTCGGTCGATATGCGCGCGCATCGTAAAAATTTTACCCTCATATTTTTTCCAAACGTGCCAAAAGAAGTATAACTGCAACAAAATCATTTTGTTAAAGTAAGATTTGCTAGTATTTTTATTATTAAGTATTAAGTTTTTTTTTTAAATATGCTTTTTCAGGTGACAACGACCAATCTAAGGAGCTTGCTGAAACAATCGACCACAGTTCTGTACAGGAGCGTCTTGCTAAACGAAAAAACTTCTTAGCGGTGAAGCTCAAGAGCGGTTCTGAGAATTACACATTTTTCGCTCAAATCTGTATCCTTTTTACTATAAAAGCTAAAAATTACTTTACGATTTCATATATATGTATAAATAATACTAACGACTCGTCGGTTCGTCCCTAGTTACGTTTTAGCGTTTAGTATTGATTTCTCAGAGATGAGATATTTTGTCTTTGATATTTTAGTTTTTATAATTTTCATATGCCCAGTGTCACTCCCACAATTAATATGAATCTAACGACCACTCCCAAGCTAAAATCCATCAAGCCGTTTAGGCTACAGGGCGTGCCAAAGAAACATAAATACATGCATACATACATAGTACATACACTCAAAACACATGACTCTCCTTCTGGCGCAGTTGGATAAAAAAGAAGTGGACTGCCTTGAAAGTTACATAAGTACACAAACATATTTACTTAAAACTGGAATCAAGTGATGCGAGTCGATGGTGCGAACACTAGCTTTAACATAACAATGTAAATAAAAATTAAAATTTAATTATTTTAAAGAGGTTATTAGGTTGATTTCCCATACAAACTTTCATCCCCATTTTCACTCCCTTAAGGGATGATTTCCAGAGGAAAAGGCTATCCTATTTCCTTCCCAGGATCTTAAACTATTTTCATACAAAATTTTATCTAAATCGGTGTAATAGTATCGGAGCTTATTTGGTACAAACATACAAACAAAAAATCTATCCTCTTTATAATATTAGTATAGATAAGTTACATAACATTTTATATAGATCAAAATAAACTTTATTCAAATAGACTTTCCCAAGCACTTTTAAATACTTTTTACATTTTTAAAATATTAAATGTCAGTATGTAAGTCTGTGAGGAATCCACCACCGGCTCGGAAGGCAGTTCTGCTGAGAAGAGTTCGAGAGAAACTCAACAGTTGCTATTTTAAAATAATATTTCTTTACAATAATGTAATACAATTATTATCTACTTATCCTATGGAGACTCAACCAGAAATTAGTCCCATACAATGTCCTCTACAAAGTATTCCGTGACGGTGTAATAAGCTTTATCTATACATATAATAAAATTGTAACTGATCGCTATCTGCACATGGAAGGTATTCGAGAAAAACTATTATGGGGGTTATTTATTAACGCAACAGAAACCAAAGCAATGATTTTTTTTTAATTTTGTCTATTTGTCTGTGCGTTTGTGCGCGCTAAACTCAGAAACGACTTAACCGATTTGAGTGCGGTTTTCACTAATGTATATATTGTGGTAAGCTTCACTTAACATTTATAATTTGTTTTATTTCAATTGGTTTCATAAAAAACAAAAGCTATGTCAAATTAAAGAATCAATAACATATTTTTAATTTTAGACTTAAATTGTTTAATATTTTTTTAACAACTTTCACATTTATAATGTATGGATTCTACAATTTTTAGCCAAAATTCGCCTTAATTCGTAACCCAGATCAATTTGTGCCTGTGCCATCTCTGTTCTTCATCGGTCGCAACGGTACTCCACTGGAAGTGGTATGTGCCGGGATAGATCCTGAGGAACTAGCCACTAGGATTGATAGGATCGCACAGGAGCATCTCAAAATCAAGACTGGTTAGTATTTGAAATTAGAGTTTTATTTAAAAAGGCACAGCGATTAATTTTTTTTTAATGACAGAGTTTTTTTTAAATTTTCATAGAACCTAATTACTATAGATAGATAGGTTCTGGGTTCAATTCCCAATTCTGATTATTGGATATAGATAAATAAATCTATTCACAGTGACAGCCAGGTGTTGGGAAGTTTGTGATGTTACTCTTTACCTGCCGGAGTTTGAGTAGGAGAGGGATAGAGAGTGCACGTTCTGCGAATTGCAAATTTATACACTATAGCGACCTACGCATGCTATGCTCGGGTGGGACCGTTTTTTTTTTGTTGAGCGGAACTCTAATTCTTTTTCTAACATAAAAGTAGCTCAAGTTACTCCTTATAACATCAGCTATCTGCCAGTGAAAGTCCTGTCGAAATCGGTCCAGCCGTTTTGGAGATTAGCCGGAACAAACAGGCAGAGTTTTTTTTAAATATTTGTGTTTTTTTATAGTAGTGCAAAAATGTATTTGCGCTCCATATTGCTAATGCTTTTCTTCATAGCAATGCGACTATAAGACGGTAGTTTTTTAGTTTACTTTGTTCATACTAAATTGTGTTTCATTCATACTTTTGGATTGTCACGTGACTTCATTCATTTTTAGCATTTTTCACATGTGCACTAATCATATTTTTGTTGCTCGAAAAGCCGCTTCTGAACGTCTTATTCTACTTGTGATTGGTCAGAAATTATAAAACGTCATTTATTTGACAAGCGAGGCGAGCAATGTTATTATTTGAATGTAATATTAATATGGCGATTGTTTATATTTAGATTATTATATTGAAATAAACCTTCTTTACGCAAGCGTGCCTTGGGAGTAAGCTGGTGAATGCGAGACGAGAGCGTTACGAAAAGTGTGATCGGGCGAGGCGAACGTTTGTTGCCATGGTAACCGTTGTTATTGTCTGACAAATGATATACAATATTATATTCTTTGCTTAAATGATATTCTATAAATATATAATTGTAATGTGTCTAATATGTGTTATTTAATTATTTGTGTTAGAAATTATCATTCCTTTTACAGAGAGTTGTGACATACGGGAGGAAATCTTTAGCTATTTTTGTTCTGTTACGCCAAACAAGTTTAACTTCTTACGTGCGTACATACAGTACACACACGCGGTTTTTCAGTATATCACCTATTCTAATTATTTAAAACATAAATTGAATTTCATGAAGAGTACCAATAACCTACAGAAGTATTACTTGCACGTGTACACATTCATACATGCACTCTTTAATTTTTTTATTTTATTTTATTATATATTTAATGAATAGTATAGGTTTCTCAGAGATGAGATATGTTCCTGCGGTAAAAAGTATCCTATATATACCCGGATAACCAGCTATCATCTTACCAAATTTAATCAAAATCTGTCCAGTGGTTTTCTTGTGATGCTTTCCCAGACAGACACTAAAATACTAAAAACTGTAGATTCGCCCTCAGTATCGATAATAATGACTATTTCAATAAGATTTTCTAAAAAATATTTAATTAATATTATAATAATGTACAGATTCGACTCAGAATTTTTATTATATACATGTATGGAAAAGATAAATTATTATTATGGCGAATTCTTATTGTTTACGAGTGCATTGCGAGATTTTTTCGTTTTATATCTGATTCTATTTAAGTTTAGAATAAATTTTAATATGTTAAAGTTATTTTAAATACGTTACGCTAATCAACAATATAATTTGGCGAATTTAATTAATTTATATTAAATAAAAAACAAAACATAAATTATATAATATTGCTATATTGTTTACATTTATTATGTAAAAATTAACAAAAAAAAAAGAAGAATATTTAAATCCCAAAAAAAGTATATTTAAGTTTTAAAGTATACTCATTATGATGCGTAATGATTTTTCATAGATGGCGTTGTTTATGTTAATATATTTTGCTAGAATATTTGAATATTATTTATATTACTATTAATATAAAATATTATTATAAAATGTTCACAATATATTTTTTTTATTTTTTTGCCTTTATATATCTATAAAAATTGTATAGCAATATTTGTCTGTCTGTTTTTTTTTGAAGCTAAAATTTTACCCTTCGCCACTGCTGAGCATATCTATCGACAACTTGCTAGGTTCTCTCAGACATGCAGGTTTCCTCGCGATGTGTTCCATCATAGTATTAGCAAGTGGTGCTTTTGTCGAAGATGTGTATATTTTATTATCGACGACACGTTTGGCTCAGTTTGTAGAGACCCTACTTGCTGTGCCAACGGTGGCGGGTTCGGGTCCCGCTGGGGGCATTCATTTGTGTGATGAGCACGAATGTTTGTACGCTAGTCGTGGATGTTTATATTTATAATATGTATGTATTTAAATTTATATATGTGTAGTGTATCAACTATCTGGTATCCATAACACAAGCCCCATAGCTTACAATGGAACTAGATGGTGGCATGAACTAGGCTGTGTTAATGTTCCAAGAAATTTATTTGTTTAATTTTTTAACTCCACTTACATCTCTAGCAGGTGCAGAAGGTCAAACCCCCAAACCTTCCACGTCAGCCCAAAACCTAAGGGACGAGACGAATAACTTCATACAATCAGAGGCCAACGCGGAGTCGACATCGGTGAGTGAAGAGAAAACGGAGAAGACAGAGAAAGTGGAGACACCTGTAGAGAAACCATTGGAGATTAAGGAGAATCAACCAGAACCGCCCAAGAGTGTTGCAACCAAGAACGCTCATGTGGATGAGGAACCAGGTATGAAAATATTGTAGCTTATTTAAATTATTCATAACTAGCAAAGAAAATCACAAACATATCTATACCACGGGAACCGTTCATTTTTCCGGGATAAAAAGTAACCTGTTCTTTGACCGGCAATATAAAGTATCAGCATGCCAAATTTTACTAAATTAGTTGCGCAAGTTGTTGTGTACTAAGCTGTATAAGTTACTATAGTTTTTTAACTATCCCACGGGAACCCTTTAATTTTCCAGGATGAAAAGTATCTAAGATGTTGACTGAGAATATAAGGTACGACCATGCAAAATTTAATTTAAATCGGTTAAACAGTTTCGGAGATTAGCCTAGCTAGAAACAAAAAATTAAAAAAAAATGGATTTGTTCTATTACTATTCTTATACATTTTTTTCAATGTACAGTAATTTTTAACTTTAAACAATAATTGTTTAAAGTTAGAAAATATTGTAAGGTAATTGGTGCAATTTTCATTTTGTTATTTGTGGGTAGGCTGTCTGTAACAACTATACCTTCGAGACATGTAACACCTCAGTCTCTCCCGTGACCATGATTGCTGTAAAGCATTCGAAACGTCGGGAACCAAAAATTAAAATAAATCCGCGAAAAAATCCGAAAAGATAGTTGTATTTAAGATAACGACTCAGAATGTTATTTATGTAAATAATGTGCTCCCGATCAGTTTCGGCAACAGCGGCCAATCTCACTGAGTAATCAGTAGCTGCAGAATAACTGCAGGAGATATTATAGTGCAGACACAACTTGCACTCTATTCCTGTCACTCTCATACTCCTTCGAAGAATCTTCGCCACGACCGGTGAGAGTTAAAGACACAGGACCGATGGTTTTACGTGGTTTCCAATAAACGGTGGTGACACCACGCCATCTCCCAAATCGGTTACTGAGAATTTCTCGACAGAAATACTCAATTGAACTTGGCCCGACTCAGAACTCGAACTTGAGCTTCCGGATCTGTAGCCGTACATGCCGGCCGTTAGACCACCGAGGCAGATTTAATGCTAAAAAAGAATTTCACTCTCCCATTCTAGAAACTTCAGCCCCCGCAGCTAAGATACCGAAGACGGAATATGAAGTGATCTGCGATGGGGATGTATGCGTTCGGAGGCCCAAGGACCAGGCGCTGCCCAGCCAGAGCCCTGCGGAGAACAATGTGAGTCGGCCTCTATTTATATGAAATTTTAATGTTAGCGCTTGAGACTGTGGTAGCCCAGTGGCAACGAGCTAGCTCGCTCGGGAGATTGAGTGAAACGCGTTCAAATCTCGGGTCTCGCACCTGTGATATTTTTTTCTTTCGCGTGAAAGTGTAACAAACATACATCCATATATCATCACAAAACTTTATAACATAACTAGCGACTCACCATCGTCTCGCTCGGGTTCGTCCCTAGGTACGTTTTAACGGTCAGTATGGAATATGTAGATGGTATGACGAGTTGTTGTGGGTTGTATTATAACGTGTTTTCCCGTGGGAATGAGATAATCTCCCGCAGTAAAAAGTAGCCTACGTCACTCTCCAGCCCTCCAACTACCTCCACACAAAATCACGCCAATCCATCACTCTGTGTCAATGTGAAAGAAGGACAAACAAACAAACACATGTTCACATTTATAATATACTAGTTGACCTGATAGACCTTGTTCTGTCCAGTCAAGTGTGTAGCAAGCTCGATTAGAAAAATAATGTGTTTGTGTGGACTTCAACGAATGTTTGAAAAAAATATATAGAAAAATTGGTCCAGCCGTTCTCGAGTTTTGCGCTTAGCAACACATTTAGCCATTTATTTTTATTTATATGAAGATGTATGGATTGTGTTACAGGAGCCAGTGCCTGTCATAGAGAGTGACATCAGCATTGAAGAGAAGATGGAGAGGGCTAAAGAGCTGATAGAAATAAGAAGGCGCGAGAAGGAAGCAAAGCTGAAAGAAGTTAGTGCTATATGTCGATAGAGTATTATTTTCTTTTAGGATTTCCTAGGAAGTCTAAGTACACTTATTTACTACTTGCATTTTAACATTTAGTATAGATTTCTCAGAGATTAGATATTTTCCCGCAGTAAAAAGTATCCTATATGTTGACCCGGATAACCAGCTATTATCATATCATCAAAATCTATCCAGCGGTTTTCCAGTGAATTGACAGACAGACAGACAGCAATTCTAATTTTTTTAGATTCGACCTCTGTATTGATAATAATGTCTATTTCAATAAGATTTTCCAAAAAATATTTAATGTACAGATTCGGCTTAGTTACAATTTTATTATATTAATATGTATAGAAGTCTATGTATATCTGTATGTTTGTCAGGTTGTCACTCTGTCGGACCATTGGTTGTGGATGTTTTTATATTGTTTATGTTCGAATGAGTTGTTTTTAAGGGAATATTTCTAAGATAATTGAGGTGCGCTGCAGAAATTGAATTTATTATTAGCTATTGTTCATCTTAATATTTTTTTTTATTTTTTTTATAATAATAAAAAAATAAAAAACGATATTATCATAGGAAGAAAAGCAAAAAGAATAAGAGGTAGTATTTAGGGAAAGTACTTTTTTCTTTAAAAAAATTATGGTCAAAAGGAAAAAAAAGTTTTTTTTATAATAAATAATGTATGTAACAGGAGGAGAAGCAGAAGGAGAAAGAGCGCCGCTCGCAGGGACAGGGCGTCGCCGAGCTGAAGAAGTGGCAGGCCGACCAGGAGCTCAAGCAGATTCAGGTACAAACATACATACATTATTTAGTTTGAATTTTGGTTTATTTTTAGTGAGTTGTTGTTGGGTCGTATTATAACTTGTTTTCCTGTGGAAATGAGATAATCTCCCGCGGTTAGAAGTAGCCTATGTCACTCTCCAACTATCTTCACACAAAAAGTCACGCCAGTCCGTCACTCTGTTTCGATGTGATAGAAATAAAATTAATATGGAAGTATAGATGTCTTAAAACAAAGCAGACGTTATCTTTAAAACATCCAAAACTTGCCAAATTTGAATATGTTCATTAATAAATTAATATCTTCGCAGGAAGAGAGAAAACGTGAGAAGATGGAGAATAACCTCGCCAGGCAGAGAATCTTGGAGCAGATAGCCCAAGATAGGGCGGAGAGGAAGGCACGCGAGCAGCCCCCCGCACCACCTGCCGGTGAGTCCAGTGCGGTTTGTGGTTAGGGATTCCGGACCCCTAGGTTCTAGGTTATTAGATGGAACCCTTTTGTTAAGGGGTCTGGGTTCTAGGTTGTTTGATGGAATTCTTTTGTTAAAAATAAGTTGTTTTTTTCCAAAGGTTTTTTTTGTAATGATAGAAAATTAAATGAAAAAACTAAATCCTAAGATAACGAGAAGCAGAGAGGATAAGAGTAATTAGAGAAACTATTTTTGTTCTTTTTGTTTTGTTCTTAAAAAATAAAACACTTCTTCCTTCTACCCCCAGCGCCGATCGCACCCCCAACTCCCCCCGCGGTGGGTGACGTCGGCGGGCGCGCGCGCGTACAGTTCAAGCTGCCGGACGGCGCGGCGCACACTGCGCACTTCGCGGCCGACGCGCCTCTCGCCGACGTGCAGCGTTACGTCGCGGACAATCTGCACGTGAGTGTACGCCTTTATAGGTATCGATCGGTGGATACATGTGTAGGTGAGTGTGCGCCTTTATAGGTGCTGATTGATGGATGAACGAGCACGTGAGTGTGCACCTTTATACTATGGAGGGTAGAGATGAGGAAGCATCTTATATGGGATACAAGTTGAAAAAGTGCTGTAACCAGAATAGGGCTAGCGTAGCAAGAGGGTGTGATATGATAAGTCGAAAAATTTAATATTTATAGGTACCAATCGCCGGTTAAATGTGCTCATATGTATACGGATTTATATTTTTTTATTATTTTATTGTACCAACTGAAACGTACCGCATATCTATGCTAAATACAATTGAATGCTAACCATCTCTAACTATCCATATCCAGCTCCCGATGGGCTCGTTCTCTCTATGGACGGCATTCCCCCGTCGGGAGCTGGACTCGCCGTCTGAGTCGCTGCTGGCGCTGCGCCTTGCGCCTTCAGCCGCGCTGCTGGTGCTGCCGCGCCGCGTGTCGCTCCCTCCCGCTCGCCCTTCGCCCCTCGCTGCACTCACCGGTGAGACATACATACACACATACACACTAGCGACTCACCCTAGTTTTAATTTTTTCGAGCGGATCACTAATTCTTTTTCTAAAATAAAAGTAGCTTATGTTTACTCCCCTATAACATCAGCTATCTTCCTTTACTTCAATTTTATTTATCTGTTTAGAGTATAGATATCACTACATATTATAAAACAAAGTTCTCCGCCGCGTCTGCCTGTATGTTCGCGATAAACTCAAAAACTACTGCACCGATTTTCATGCTCATCAAATATTTTCGAAGTCGGTGCTAGCCGATACAAAGCAAAGCACAACGACTTGAATCAAAATGAAAACTACCAATCAATTATTTTTTTACTTTTTAGTGCTTTTTTTGAAGTCGGTTTTTATTTTTTGTTAAAAGTTTTTTTTCAATAACAGCTCCTTATCAACTTGCGATATTCCTTTTGTTTTGCTCTCACACACACATACACGTACACACACACGCATTCGAATCTATACAGGTAAGTAAAATTGAAGTGTCTGTTTGTAATGTCGAAATAGCAGCGTTTTACTAAATGCATATGAAATTATATACGGTACTTATAAGAAAAACAATTTTTTTTTAATTTTTGTCTGTCTGTCTGTTCCGGATAATCTCTGAAACGGCTGGACTGATTTTGACGAGACTTTCACTGAAAGATAGCTGATGTTATAGGGAGTAACATAGGCTACTTTTATTTTAGAAAAAGAAATAGGGTTCCTTTAAAAAAAAATTGTAATTTAACTAGTTACAGATTATAATTAAATCAAAAAATTACATAAAATATTTTAACCTCGAACATATATTCCACAGCATTCATCACCCAACTGTTCACAACGTTCGTCCTGGACCCCTCGTACCAGATTTACTCGTGGCTGCGTAACCGTATCTTCCCCACCCCCACGATCCCCCCCGGCCCTACGACACCTCCCAACCCCCAGGACCCCCAGAATCCCCAACACCCCCCGGGACAAGGGCTGCGGCGACGCGGCAACATACACCGACTCACAGGCGATAGGTCGGGAGATGATGAGAATAACACATGGAATGGAAATTCCACACAACAGATGTAACAAAGGGTACTATTGTATTATCTATACTTATATTATAAAGAGGTGAAGTTTGTGAGTTTGTGACGTTGTATGGGGTAATCTCTGGATCTATTGATATGATGATATGGAATTTGGTAAGAAAATAGTTTGAGACCCTGGTAAGGATATAGGATACTTTTTATCCCGGAAATCATCCCTTAAGGGGGTGAAAATGGGGATGAAAGTTTGTAAGGGGAATCAAGCTAGGGACTAACCTGAGCGAAGCGAGGGTGAGTAGCTAGTAACATTATAAAGAGGCAGGATTTGTTTGTTTGTTTGTTTGTTTGTTTGTTTGAACGCGCTAATCTCAGGAACTACTAATCCGATTTCAAAAATTTTGCATTTTTGCATTAGGTAACCCGTTCATTGTGGAAGGCTATAGGCTATATATCATCATGCTACTCAAGGGTGCGGAGCAGTACTATAATACATATGTATATAGTTTATTACATACAAAGTGTTAAAACGTGACTAGAAACGAACGCGAGCGAACCGAGGGTGACTCGTTAGTATTTTAATATTAAATAAAGGTTTTAATTAAAACTATATTTTCGGATATCTTCGTAGTTTTATTTTATTTTTGGTTCCTGAAGTTTCGAATGCTTTACAGCAATCATGGTCACGGGAGGGACTAAGCTTGTAGACGTATTGTATTGTATATTGGGTATATTGGACTCGTTTTCCGTACTTGGAATCGCATTTGATCCGTTATACGTTACGAATCCTGGCTAGTTTAGCCAGCCGTCCAAAAGCGCAGAAGTTAGGAGGCGTTTAGTGAGACGTGGGTTAACTGCAGGCAAGGCTGATCTAGCTTGCCTGCAGTCTGTCGTTTTTGACCATCTGTTATTCAAATTCAAATATAAAATATTTTATTCAGCATTAAATTATTACAATTTTTTACTGAACGTCATGAGTCTACTACCAGTTCGGAAAGAAGCCTCAGACCTGAGAAGAACTGGCGAAAGAAACTCAGCGGGACTCATACTATTTCATTATCTTTTTTTTATAAAGTTTAATTATAATGTACAATATTTCTATCAAGTTGAAGTAGCCTGGAGGCGATCATTTCATTCCCAAGGTGTGCCATCTTCTATAAAATCATTTATTGTATAATAACCTTTAGCACACAAACGTTCTTTAACAATTTTTTTGAATTTGGCGATAGAAGCTTTTTGAACATTTTCCAGGATGCTGTTGTACAAGCGTATACATTGTCCATAAAAAGAATTACTGACTCTGTGTAGACGAGTCACAGGCATTACAAGTTTGTGTTTGCTCCTAGTATTAATGTTATGAATGTCACACTTCTTGGGAAATTCGTGTATATTTTTACGGACATACATAACATTTTTCATACACGTACACTGAGAAGCAACAGTCAATATTTTTATTTCTTTGACTTATCTCTTAGTCTTTGCCTGCTCTTGTAGATGCAAGGAGTTGCCCATTCACTCAATGATAAGAGACCCTCTGAATTGACTGTTTTAGAAGTAAATATTGTAGAAAATTGTCTTTATTAATTTAAATAAAGAATTATATAAGAAGTTGGGGTCATTGCTGTAGGATAAATAAGGAAGTTTTGCCACAATATTACCTCTGAACTTCTCCATACGTGTAGTGCTTATAGGGACAAAAGCCTTTTTCAACATTTTTTTATTGGTATTTAAAGTATAAGAAAACGAAGCTAACTGACCACAATGGTCTGAGCTCAATTTGTTTTTAATAGATTTAGAGGTTGGTTTACAATTTGTGAATATATTGTCAATACATGTAGCACTGGTAGCAGTGATTCTTGTTGGTTCAAGAAATAAATTGTTCAGGTTATATGGCGAGATGGCGAGATATAACATTCATACACGTTATGGCTAACTGCATTTAACTGTCCGAAAGTTCCACTTGGTGCAATCTGGATTCCTTCCCTGACTCTGACCCTGGACCTTGCGAAATGGCTATCTCCGGAAGATTGAACTTCACCTCTCTGCCGTCTGGAGTGATTACACTGGTGACATGTGATATGTAATCAGCGATCGGTTGTGGAATGACTTGATAATCCGCTAGTATTTCTCGGACGTCAGTTCTTATATTCAAAACGTGTTGGCCGGTTTTCCTGGCTGTTTCAATCAATTCTAAATTTAGATATGTAGACATAGCATGCATGAACATCGAAGCTTGTAGTCTGTCCTGTAATCTGGGATCCACGCCTCGGAGTTTCTCGTACGTCTCATGGACCAGCGGAATAAACCCCGAAAACTCAAAATTCTGACAGAATAAGTCCTGCTCCGGGATGAGTGACGAATGCGGACCGATGTCATAGAGTGGTTCTTTCCGGAGGGATTCCTCGGTTGTGCTCGGTCTAACATCCTGTCGTGTGCGAGGATGTCCTCCCGCTTGTCTTGTTTTGGTTGCCGATTTTTCTTGAATCCCTGTGACCTTGCGATCGGCCTGCGGTTTACCTCCCGGCTGGGATCATATGGTTCTGGTTCGTAAGCCCAGTTATGGCCTCTCCATTCCTTCATGAAAATGATTATACGCGCGCTGCGCGTTACGTGCTGCTCGGCGGCTTCTGCCGGAACCTTGGCCTCTGCCGTGTAATGCGAAATAACTACGATTTTCATGTTGCATCTCGATGTCGAGGTATCAGTTGTGTTGAAAAACGACAAACATAGAAGATATGATAGAAGCATGGATGTAAATCTGAGACTTATAGTGGAATTATCTAATTAGTTTATATTAAAATCCCCACAAACAACAATGAATTTATTAGAACTATTTAATTTTAACAAAGCTTCTTGTAATACTTTCTCAAAGTACTCATATAACCCATTAGAAGGTCTGTATACGCATACATCAATGAAGTGCTCAAGCTCTGCGCAGGCTAATTCAATAGTTTGCTCAACAGAGAGGCTCACAATATCTTAACGTTCTTTATATTTAAAAAGTTTGCTTATAATTATTAACGAGTCTCCGCGTATAGCTTTTTCTCTATTGAACATACTAGCTACCTGGTGACCGCTGAAGTTAAATATGGAAATATTTTGAAGTGTCAGCGTCCTTAGGCGAATCCAGGTGCGAACCTGTGGAAAAGGTAGAAGAAGTGGGTATGGGCCAGTTACTTCTAATTTTGATCCTTTCTTTGCAAGTTCGTAAGCTGCATCGTTGCCCGGTGAACCACTGTTTCCCTTGATCCATTGAACAGTGACGTGATTGGTCAATGCTATTGTACCGAGGGCATGGTTTGATAGATATTGTGGTTGTTTTTTCAAAGTTATGTAAATAGCCTATAAAATATACCTATATAGCGTATAATATTGACGAACGTTTCCGTAACATCGTCCTACGTATTTTAGCAGTGAAGTAATTATATGTATATAAATAAAATGCGCGAGCAGACTCGCGGGTAAAAGAAAGTTATTTAATTTTAGGTTTCTGCAGTCTTTCTCCATATAAACTTTAACTATGCCAAAGCTCATCTACCTCCGTACATGCAATATGATTAAAAAGGGGTTCAAAGTTGTCTCTTCGTACGTACGTACGTATTAATATATAGAAATATATAGATGAATAATTCCTCATCAACATCCATATCGCTCAATCGTATAAATAATAACTAATCAGATGCTCCTGCGAGATATTTTTCCTTGCACAGACGCACTCTTTCACCCTTTTCTAACTGATTTCTATCAGTTCGTTGACTGCTGCCATAATTTATTTACAAAACAGTTTTTTCTACAGTATGTAACTAACGACATATTTGGCATTTGATATTTTTTACCAGTGTACTATGTTTGCTTGAGATACGTTTCATCTTCTTCGTATAAGAAGGGGATTTTTCACCACAATGCCTGCATTTAAAATTGTTCAGCAAATGTGCATGAACTGTTTGTTCGTAGGTACACTTGTTTGTTTTTGGGCAGAATTTGCATGTGTTAGATATCTTTGCTATACTCTTGATAGTGAAGACTGAAGTAAGAGTGATTGATAAATCCAGAATTGCAGACATTACGTACATAATTTCTTGAATGTACGTTCATATGTTGTTGTAAAGTTTCAAACTCGGTAAACGCTGTGTTACAGGTCACACATTTAAGATCAGGTTCATCCGGACCAAATTTGAACGGGATGATGTGTTTATTTATATTCAGATTGATCTTTTTCCCGTGGTCTTTGAGATGCTGGAGCATATCTTCCAAACTTTTGATGCTTACTTTACATATCTTGCAGAAGCCCATGATTTCGCTTCATGTGAGTCCTTAAGGAGTTTTTAATAAAACACCTCTTCCCGCATATTTGGCATTTCATTTTGTTTACCAGTGTACAATGCTTGCTTGAGATACGTTTCATCTTCTTCATATAAGAAGGGGATTTTGCACCACAATGCCTGCATTTAAAATTGTTCAGCAAATGTGCATGAACTGTTTGTTCGTAGGTACACTTGTTTGTTTTTGGGCAGAATTTGCATGTGTTAGATATCTTTGCTATACTCTTGATAGTGAAGACTGAAGTAAGAGTGATTGATAAATCCAGAATTGCAGACATTACGTACATAATTTCTTGAATGTACGTTCATATGTTGTTGTAAAGTTTCAAACTCGGTAAACGCTGTGTTACAGGTCACACATTTAAGATCAGGTTCATCCGGACCAAATTTGAACGGGATGATGTGTTTATTTATATTCAGATAGATCTTTTTCCCGTGGTCTTTGAGATGCTGGAGCATATCGTCCAAACTTTTGATGCTTACTTTACATATCTTGCAGAAGCCCATGATTTCGCTTCATGTGAGTCCTTAAGGAGTTTTTAATAAAACACCTCTTCCCGCATATTTGGCATTTGATTTTGTTTACCAGTGTACTATGTTTGCTTGAGATACGTTTCATCTTCTTCATATAAGAAGGGGATTTTTCACCACAATGCCTGCATTTAAAATTGTTCAGCAAATGTGCATGAACTGTTTGTTCATAGGTATACTTGTTTGTTTTTGGGCAGAATTTGCATGTTTTTGATATCTTTGCTATACTCTTGATAGTGAAGACTGAAGTAAGAGTGATTGATAAATCCAGAATTGCAGACATTACGTACATAATTTCTTGAATGTACGTTCATATGTTGTTGTAAAGTTTCAAACTCGGTAAACGCTGTGTTACAGGTCACACATTTAAGATCAGGTTCATCCGGACCAAATTTGAACGGGATGATGTGTTTATTTATATTCAGATTGATCTTTTTCCCGTGGTCTTTGAGATGCTGGAGCATATCTTCCAAACTTTTGATGCTTACTTTACATATCTTGCAGAAGCCCATGATTTCGCTTCATGTGAGTCCTTAAGGAGTTTTTAATAAAACACCTCTTCCCGCATATTTGGCATTTGATTTTGTTTACCAGTGTACTATGCTTGCTTGAGATACGTTTCATCTTCTTCATATAAGAAGGGGATTTTTCACCACAATGCCTGCATTTAAAATTGTTCAGCAACTGTGCATGAACTGTTTGTTCATAGGTACACTTGTTTGTTTTTGGGCAGAATTTGCATGTATTAGATATCTTTGCTATACTCTTGATAGTGAAGACTGAAGTAAGAGTGATTGATAAATCCAGAATTGCAGACATTACGTACATAATTTCTTGAATGTACGTTCATATGTTGTTGTAAAGTTTCAAACTCGGTAAACGCTGTGTTACAGGTCACACATTTAAGATCAGGTTCATCCGGACCAAATTTGAACGGGATGATGTGTTTATTTATATTCAGATAGATCTTTTTCCCGTGGTCTTTGAGATGCTGGAGCATATCGTCCAAACTTTTGATGCTTACTTTACATATCTTGCAGAAGCCCGTGATTTCGCTTCATGTGAGTCCTTAAGGAGTTTTTAATAAATCACCTCTTCCCGCATATTTGGCATTTGATTTTGTTTACTAGTGTACTATGTTTGCTTGAGATACGTTTCATCTTCTTCATATAAGAAGGGGATGTTTCACCACAATGCCTGCATTTAAAATTGTTCAGCAAATGTGCATGAACTGTTTGTTCGTAGGTACACTTGTTTGTTTTTGGGCAGAATTTGCATGTGTTAGATATCTTTGCTATACTCTTGATAGTGAAGACTGAAGTAAGAGTGATTGATAAATCCAGAATTGCAGACATTACGTACATAATTTCTTGAATGTACGTTCATATGTTGTTGTAAAGTTTCAAACTCGGTAAACGCTGTGTTACAGGTCACACATTTAAGATCAGGTTCATCCGGACCAAATTTGAACGGGATGATGTGTTTATTTATATTCAGATAGATCTTTTTCCCGTGGTCTTTGAGATGCTGGAGCATATCGTCCAAACTTTTGATGCTTACTTTACATATCTTGCAGAAGCCTATGATTTCGCTTCATGTGAGTCCTTAAGGAGTTTTTAATAAAACACCTCTTCCCGCATATTTGGCATTTGATTTTGTTTACCAGTGTACTATGTTTGCTTGAGATACGTTTCATCTTCTTCATATAAGAAGGGGATTTTGCACCACAATGCCTGCATTTAAAATTGTTCAGCAAATGTGCATGAACTGTTTGTTCATAGGTATACTTGTTTGTTTTTGGGCAGAATTTGCATGTATTTGATATCTTTGCTATACTCTTGATAGTGAAGACTGAAGTAAGAGTGATTGATAAATCCAGAATTGCAGACATTACGTACATAATTTCTTGAATGTACGTTCATATGTTGTTGTAAAGTTTCAAACTCGGTAAACGCTGTGTTACAGGTCACACATTTAAGATCAGGTTCATCCGGACCAAATTTGAACGGGATGATGTGTTTATTTATATTCAGATTGATCTTTTTCCCGTGGTCTTTGAGATGCTGGAGCATATCTTCCAAACTTTTGATGCTTACTTTACATATCTTGCAGAAGCCCATGATTTCGCTTCATGTGAGTCCTTAAGGAGTTTTTAATAAAACACCTCTTCCCGCATATTTGGCATTTGATTTTGTTTACCAGTGTACTATGCTTGCTTGAGATACGTTTCATCTTCTTCATATAAGAAGGGGATGTTTCACCACAATGCCTGCATTTAAAATTGTTCAGCAAATGTGCATGAACTGTTTGTTCGTAGGTACACTTGTTTGTTTTTGGGCAGAATTTGCATGTGTTAGATATCTTTGCTATACTCTTGATAGTGAAGACTGAAGTAAGAGTGATTGATAAATTCAGAATTGCAGACATTACGTACATAATTTCTTGAATGTACGTTCATATGTTGTTGTAAAGTTTCAAACTCGGTAAACGCTGTGTTACAGGTCACACATTTAAGATCAGGTTCATCCGGACCAAATTTGAACGGGATGATGTGTTTATTTATATTCAGATAGATCTTTTTCCCGTGGTCTTTGAGATGCTGGAGCATATCGTCCAAACTTTTGATGCTTACTTTACATATCTTGCAGAAGCCTATGATTTCGCTTCATGTGAGTCCTTAAGGAGTTTTTAATAAAACACCTCTTCCCGCATATTTGGCATTTGATTTTGTTTACCAGTGTACTATGTTTGCTTGAGATACGTTTCATCTTCTTCATATAAGAAGGGGATTTTTCACCACAATGCCTGCATTTAAAATTGTTCAGC